CGGGGCCCGCCTAAGAGCAATCCCACCTCCTCTTACATCACTGGCCAGCGACCTAAGATCAGGTGGGGCCAGTGACGTAAGAGGAGGCGGGGCCCGTCAATAGCAGAGGAGGCAGGGACGGAACAGGAGTCTGGGCCCGGCGACCACAGAGGCGGACAGCGCTGACAGGTAAAAGAGATCTCAGACCCTGCAGAGCCCCCTATAGAGAGGGGGCATACAAAATTTTGCTATGGGGCCCTGTGATTTCTGTACAAATGAACATGCTTTTGATCCAAATTCTTTCACCATGTCCACAAAAACAAACAGATCTTAAGATAAATTCTAATTTTAATGTGATCCATTCACAGTTGTCTGAAATTATCAGTCATAAAATATTACAGTCTGTGTTATAAATCTGATCCTTTTCTAGGAATCACTGCCTTGGAGATTCATAATAGTGAAAAAGTGTGAGTTCCTGCAATCTATGTAACTTTCTCATAGAAACAATGGCATAGGAATCCACAGTGACGGAGTTTATAATCCACTTGGATGTCTGTTATCTGGTGTGAGCAGATACTCCTGCCTAAAGCTGCAAATGTATTCAGCTAAATTACACAATTTATATAGTAGTCTCATATAGAGCCTCAAACAGTGTTCCATGTTACTGGGCCTTAATATATTGTATCATATCCTTCATTGTATTAAAACTATACCCATAGCAGCAGTCATTTATCCACTATATTGTCTAAATATCAAGAAAAGACAAATCGTATCTAATTGAGGAATCAATATCTCATAGGAAAAACTACTCTCTGGATCATAACGTCTTCTGTACATGTGGAAGAAAGCACAAAGAGGGGCGCCTTTCCTGGTGCAGATTTGTTCCAATAAGCAGGTTTAAAAAGTAAACAGGCCGGTACTCACAAGGATAGAGTGATAACAGGCTGCAGGACAATAAAACCGGAGCAATGAATGGATCCGTGCAGTGCGTCCTGTGCATAGATCAATGAAGTGTCGACGCGTTTCCGGGGCACGCCCCCTTTGTCAGAACGTCATCTGTACATGTGCTGCTGACATGATCAAGGCTTTTAGACATAACATGTCACATGTCGTAAAACACAGTGCATGTATATATTAAAGGCATCTACTCATTGTAATTCTGTGTGTTCCTGCAGGTGCACCTGCTCAGTATGGTCAAAAAAGAATAGATATTACTTCATATTATAGTCTGCGATATACTTTAAAATATGCAGCTCAGGTACATTGCATCCCCGTGTTGCATCAAAAACATGTCTGTAACTAATGCACAGTGCCTATACTGTATGAAAAGTGCTACAGATTAACAGCTAGTTGCCATAAAGCTCGACCTTGACTAACGATACCCTCGACTGGATTTGCTGGCATCTCTCACTGCCTTAGGAGGAAAACGTAACAATATCCCCAAGGGGCTTCACTCCATACACCGCATAAAGGGAAGTATGCACGTGCTTACATAGTCCTATCACATTGACATGTTTAACAGATTTATCTGAATTGTCATATACAAGGAAGCACGAGCCAATCCAAGCAAATGAGGCAGAGATGTCACTCCTAAATGCATTACTGTTCACAATAACACTAAAAAGTGTATCTGACACAGGCTTTTAATCTTACAAATTCTGATATGGTTACCCATATGTAAACGTGTTGTACAATAAATATAGATGTCAAAAATTGTCACAAAATGGCAAAAAATGATAAAGAGTTGTGGTCATGAAAGGGTTGCCATGGAGCAAGTCATTGCTCTCAAAAATAAAGAGGGGGAAATTGATTCACACCCCATGTTTGCTAAAGTCCAACTTTTTTCCACAACATTGTCAGATTAATATTTTGTGGTGGTTGAGACAGCAGTTAATATTTTCATAGGTGTGCAGGTTTATAGACAAAAATCTATTCTAACTCCAAAGCTTTATCTTAACTGTGAAGCATGGTGGAGGGAGTATAATCCTACGGGTCTGCTTTGCTGCCTGGAAGGTTTGTAATGTTTGAGAAATCTGTAAATTCTAATTTGTAATAGGAAATTCCACAGTAAATTTTCAGGCAGACCTAAAACTCAGAAGAAGGTGAGTGAAAAAACACAACATTGATTGAAAACAAAGACATTCATTGACAGCAGAAAGGCAATAGACACAATTACACATTTGAAAATGGCCATCAGAGTCCTTCCATCAATTTTATTAGAATTCTTTGTGATCTATAACAATGTTTGAGAGTCATTCTATCATTACACAGGAATTGAATATAGGAATGGGTCGGTAATGCCTCACAACTCCTGTGGAGTTCTCATCAGCAGCTACAGAAAGCATTTGATTGACGTTATTGCTAGGTTGCACTAGTTACAAAAGGAAAAGTTTCACATGTCTTTTCTGTCAGTGACCTTTACTATTTTTAAACCATTAGTTCAATGAAATGTAAAAGGCTGTTTGTTCAATATGATTTTCTTTATTAAGATTTGGATAAAGCTGAGATAACATTCTAGGAGCCATTATTGCAAAAATCATGTAATGTATGGGTATATGACTACAGGCTGCAGGAATAATTAGACTGAACAGTTCAAATCTTAGTCATCATTAGATAATCATTAGATGATGCTGCCTAACTGCAGTCCACTTCACACTTCACTTTGGTGGAGGTATTCTATCGTAAAAAAAAAGATTGCTTTCTCTTGGGCTTTAGTAGCACAGTGAATGTGTGATGAATCGGTTTATTTCTGTATACGGTTAAAATGTGTCAGATATTAGATAACAGTTGGAAAAGCGGGCACAATCTTTTTTTTAAATGGTTTTTGCCCTAACGTACCAGCTAGGATCACCTAAGCATGCAGGTTAATGCATTGAGTTTGGAGTAAAAAAAAAAATAGCACTCATCCAAAAAATAAATTGCACTTTTGGCATAATGCCGAAAGTGCCATTTTCCTGCTGATACATCGGCGCATCCCTGCTTTCTTTCCTTCCCACTGGGCGCTGCACTGTGTCCCAGCGGGGAGGAGAAAAACTGTGATTGCCAGCCGAGTGCTGCGGGAGGAGAGCGCTGTGAGCAGCCGGCGTCTCCTCCCACCCTCCTCTCCTCCACACGCTGTCAGAGGAGGCTGAGCTAGCGGTGTAGGGAGGAGATCTCAGTCTCCTGTGACAGCGCGGCCTGTCTCATCCCACACACTGCCTTGCCGGACTGTGATAGGAGGCTAAGCGGTGTGTGGGTGGAGACAGGCCGCGCTGTCACAGGAGGCTGAGCTCTCCTCCCTACACCGCTCGCTCAGCCTCCTGTGACAGCGTGTCAGGAAGGAGAGCGAGTACAATCAGTGATCGCTAAGTGTTTGTATATAATTGAGGACATGGTATGTGTACTATAGCCTCAATTATGAATGAATGGGAAGTGATCTACATCACTTCCTGTTCATTCATAGACTAGTAATAAGGAAATAAATCTGAAGTCTGTCCATCATCAGCTGCATTTAACATTGTCTAAACAGATCAATTATAGTGCCTATTTTATACATGTCAGTAAACTTGCTTAACTGTAAAAATGGTGGCAAAGGAGGACAGGAGAATTTTAGGAAAGAAGGCAAACATAATAAGCTAATTTATGTAATTTAATGCTATGACCAATTTACAAGTCCTGGTTTAAACATAAGTTACTGAAGTCCCAGTACCGAAGGTTAGAACTCCTGCTTGAATTTGCTCTCTGCCCAGGTGTTAGAACATTACTTAAAGACTTTTATGGACCTAAAGTGGACTTAAATTTTGACGCCCCAAAGTGTTTTCTTTTTTTTGTATCGAGTGGGAGAGGTTTGAAACTTCAGTGTGGTTTTATTAGTTAGATGTCTCTAAGGGGAGATTTCCCTTCACTTGCTGTCGAGGTAACAATGTTTCCACCTTAACGGAGAAGGGAAATTTTCCAATGTGGTAAAGACCATGGTAAAAACACTGACGGAATAGATGCAAAGGAAAAGATGTGGTGAGTTTAGATTGTTAAGGTCAATCAAATGGCTGTGTGTGGCTTGCTTGAATATAAAATACAATATAGCATTGGTTACCAAATGGCAAATAAACTTTTTAACTTAAAGTGACATTAAACCCTCAGATTTTTCAACATAAACCAATACTGTAATGTGAGCCTTACTGTAGTCCATGGTAGTTTTCCTTCTCTTGGCTGCTCTTCTTTTTAAATCCTTATCTCTTCTCATGCTGGGGGAGAACTTCCCTTTGCAGCTGAGTGCCTCTTCCTGTAGTGCTGGCTCAGGTTGTAAACCTGCACACAGACACCATGTATCCATTCCAGAGACAAGGCAGTCTGCTGCAAAACAGAAGTTCTGCCCAGCATGAGAAGAGATACAGATTTAAAAGGAAGAGCAGCAAAGAGAAGGGAAACAACCATGGATTACAGTAAGGAACACATTACAGTATTGTTTTATGTTAAAAAATCTGAGGGTTTAATGTCACTTTAACTCATGTAAGAGTATCTAGTACTCTAAAAATTAAATCACAACTTTCTGTTCACACAGCATCTTGAGCCACGTGGTACAGTTCCAGCTTTCCTTTAATGAATGCCATGAAGTAAATTATTCTGGACATAGCTTCATGTCATGGCATCTATACTTAAAGTAAAGTATGTTTGACACTCAAAGTATACAGCATATCAGATAGCGCAAACCTCTACACTGCTTTAAAGAAATCTACATCATGCATTCTAAAGGTGGCAAAACATGCTTAAAATGTATCTCCTTCAGCCCCGCAGGCAACTGCAATTGTTGCCGACAGTGCGACACACGTTTTGAATTTCCACTGATTTATGCAGAAATGGGACAAAATTTGGGCAGTGTATGGCCAGCTTAATATCTGACAACTTGCTGTATAAAAATCAAAGGGCTTCTGGTTGCCCTTCAATTCAGCAATATCAATCATTCTGTTCATTCTTATCATTGATGTTTTTGCTCAAGTTTTTCTGGAAACCTGAATTCTTTTTCATTTGTTTTTCAGGGTCTGAACGGAATGTCTGCAGATGACAAGACTGAAACCCCCATGTACGTGTATGAGTCAACTGTGCATTGTACAAACATTCTTCAGTGCCTCAATGACCAGTGGAAGCAGGACATTCTCTGTGATGTCACTCTAGTTGTGGAAGGAAAGGAATTTCGAGCCCATCGGGCTGTGCTGGCTGCTTGCAGCGAGTACTTTCTGCAAGTGCTAGTTGGGCCAACTGAACTAGGACTAGTAGTCAGCTTGCCAGAAGAGGTATGGTCTCTACTCTTTCAAAATTTGCTTTATGTATAGTGCTAGATAAGACTATATCACTGATTGGTGCAGCAATTAATATGAAGTATATTGTTGAAGCTGTTATTAAAAAGTCAGTCCATCCAAAAGTGATATTTTAGTTATAGGCAGAGCCTGGTGGGCTGACCCAGCCCTTGAGTAATTGTATGTCTTAGATACTCCCTCAGCAAGTTCTGACATCTCTATAGCATTTTCCATACTATAAAATAAGTTAAAAACCTAACAGGGAAATCTCTTATAATTGCCACTGCAGGTGCAGCTCTCACCAATAAAGTCCACAAGAGATGTAAGAAACTAGGGGTTAACCTCTTCAGCATCTTTATAAAACTGAAATTTCTGTTTTAGCAAACTAACCCTTTAAAGCCAACTCTATTCCAATTATTGATTTTGTTTTAACTAAAGCATGGATTGGTTAGAATATCTGACAAGTTTTTCTTGCTATCTGTGTTTTTATTGGGGAGATTTCTCTTCCAGTCAGTACAATTGATGGTAAATCTCTCCAGCAAAGACACAGACAAAGCACATTTTTAGTAGCGTAAGGCAGGGTTAGAACTTGTTTAACCTACCTGTCCTGTTGGCAATCACACCCCTGTTTCTTATACAGGCATCACAGGGACAGTAAATGTCAGAAATTCTTCTCTCAATGGAGTCATAGACAGAAATCAAAACAATGCAGCACCTTCTCCTCAACACTACTCTGTCCAAATTAGACGAAACATTTGGCTTGCAAGAATAATTACACTTCCAGTGCAGGTTCTTTAGCTGTTTGTACCTTTTCTAGAACTATGTGTGTTCCCCTCCAGAGCTTTCAGTTATCTTGGCGAGCAGTGGTGGTAAAAATGGGCATGGCTTAAATACAATCAGCTATTTGTTGACACGCTCTTCCATGGCCTCGATTTTTTCTGTGTCGGGGTGGTTTTATAATACTATGGTCTGTTTAACATCATATGATGTTTTCTGATTTGATTATTAGAAGCACATCCAAACACAACAAGCCCCAAATAAGCCACTTAAATCTACGCTGACTTTATGAAAATGGGAGTGTGAAGTCCTTTTTTTCCCCACAACGACTCATCTTTTTATTTTAATATAATTTGCGCATTACCTTCATCAGCACTGTAATCCTTGAGATTTTTTTTTTCCCTTTAAAGTGTTATAGAAAGTTATAAATGGCTGTCAGACAAGGGTACTCTAGGTCATGCCAATGTTCTGGGCATTAAGCCATTATTCAATTAACATTACTTCATCATTGCTACTAATAGCTCTTGAGTGGATAGTTGTCATTTTAGTGGAACCTTACTCTAGAAATTGCTAATGCTTGTGAAGATCGGTTTCTCACTTTATCTAGTTGTACATCATGTAGGTATGTCTACAAGGGGTCCAGGAAATATGTAATGGTTACATGGGGAATGATGTACTGAAAATAGCTTGCAACCAGTGTTTCTTCTGTTCTTTAAATGTTAAGTAACTTTTAACTATTCTAAATATTGCCACAGTTGTATTTTTAATATAAACAATGCATTTAGGAATGGGAAAGTCTGCGTTATAATAATGATAGAAGCCTCTAAACCTTCATTATTGCAGCTAGAAATGCTTTCTTTTAGCATATCCCTCTGCCCCATTCTTTGAAGAATCTTTTAAAAATTCTCCCTGCAAAAAAGGGAAAAATTATGCAAATAAAAAAATATTGCAGGCACATGTTCCCAGAAGAAAAAATGGTGCAGAGAGACGCAGTCATCACATATTTTGTCTTGTCCCAGAGGTTAGTTGATTAGCTAAGCAGGTGCTAGACTGAAAACATGACAAAGAAGCATCCACTCTAACTATAGTAATATGTCTTTGTCAAGAAATATTTTTTTTAAGCTCAATTGAGCCATAGGGCCATTGTTCAGTCTCAGTAAGCAGCCAGCAGTTATATTTTAACAGTTAGAGCTAAGAGAAGGGAAATTCATCTCATACATGGTTAATGTAAAATATGTGCACATATTACAGCAGTAAAGTTCTAACATTGCAAATATTTTGATACTTACTGTGACCATTCACTCTTCTGGGATTACCTTTTCTGGAGTAAAGGTACTCCCAGACCTTAAGGAGGATGCACAAGCAGACTTCAGCCAGTAGGTCGGTGTCATGCTGACACGCAGACAGCTTTATTATAAAAGGTTGCAGGTAAAACAGTAAAATGTAGGGGAATGCTCTGACTTGTTTGTTTATTTATAGGTTGGGGTCAATTTTATTGATTTAGGGCTTAATTGTGCCCCGGCCAATGACATAACCCAGGTATTTTGCTTTCTCCAAACCTATAGAGCACTTTTTGGGGATTTGCCATTAGCCCCGCTTGTACATGAGACAGTTGTGTCAGAACTCTATTATGTTGTACCGACGAGACCTAAGGTGGAGAACATATTCATTGGGGCTGTCTTATAACACACTGAACCCAATCCCCAAACTGCTTATTTGGATCTAGTCCATTTTCTTATAGCTGTGTAGCTTCTGACGCCCATTTTAACACATCGGCTTCTTCTGTGCACAGATATTCATGCAACAGTTCCTAGCTCTGCTATGCTGCAGCCCTAAGGAGTTTTATTCTCCCTACTAATCCTAATATTTGTCACAGAAAGTAAGAGGAGGAGCATGTATCCCTGGCAATCTCGCTTCCCAAAGAATATAAGAAGGCAGGGGGTGATTCAACACAATACCCAATGCTGGAATATATGTGCTGGGTAGACTTTCACAGGTACACCTGTTTGAAGTCAACACAATTTAAAACCAACACAGTAATAACCACAAAGAGCCATTTATTAACAAGGATAATCTTTGTATTAAATAATCTTTGTATTTTTTAATGAATTTCGCTACTTCAATTGTCAATGTTCACACTATATGTTCTGCACAGAATAAAACCATATTTCTCTGCCCTTCATGCTTTTTTCCCATTTTCCCATTTGCAGTTTGAGCCACTAGAAGAAATATTAGGCTGACAAAAGAAAGAAAGGTTTCCAATTGAATTAAATATTGGCAGACAAAGGGCTTGATGGGATCACTTAATATTTTTGTGCAGGACATAAGGGGCCCTTTTTTTCTTGAGTCTTTAACCACACATGGGCATTTTACTTAGCAATATAATACAACCTGAATGTTTCCTTCCTAACATGTTAAAATATATTATATTAACAATTCTCCAGGCAATCATAAAACAAGTTTTATTCCCTTAGTATTCATTATTTTGTTCTCTAAAAATGATGTATCTTCAAAAGAAGCATTTCCATCTATGTTGTTCTTTTCATGTCATTTTAAACAAGGATACAACAAAGTATTGTAAAACATTTTCTTCCTAAATTATGATTAAAGAACCACTGAGCTGCAACTTTCCAATAATTGCTCCTGTGTTAATGACTCAGAGGCAGTCACACGCAGCGAAGATACCTCCGACAAGCATTAAACATGCATGGGAAGGTGACTACTCTATAGTAGATTTTTGCATAGTATATAATTCTGGTAATCTAAATGTGAGAACACCAGAGTGTGGCATGTGACAGTTCTTTAATTAAATTACTCCGAGCCATTAACACTCTGCTGTTCATTATTTATAAGTGAATACAACTTGCGTTCTGCTCTAAGATTCATTTGCAAATATAACAGTTTATAGAGGCTCATTCATATTTAACAAAGCAGTAACTTATTTTTAGCCAGAGTATCGTTTTCCAGGAGATGTAACATTTCTGATCTGCAGAAAATAAAATAAATCCATGGATCTAACAGTGTGTGGATTTCTTTTACAATGATCATGGCAAACCAGTGTATCCAAAGCCAAAAGCAGAAATTGTATTTATCGCAGCTCATCAGTCCTTAGATGTGGTGGCTGCATTTGTTTTTTCTTTTTTAGGCTTTTGTCTTCATTTTCACATGGTGATACAGCCAGTAACACACCTGTACTAGTGTGACAACACCTGCTCACTGTACTGCATCTATGAAGTAGCAGTGTTGTCATCCTAGTTTGCTTGTTCTTAATTTGGACCACAGAACACCACCCCCTCTCCTCATCTATGTGTAGATGTGTCCACAGAAGGGAACATGACAGGGTTTATTACACTGCTAGGATTTCTGTGTTGCAGGGGCAGAGTGCACAGGCAAGGAAGAAGGTGACATCATGCTGTGTACATATAATACTGCCTGTATGTGGTGATAAAGTAAATGTAAGGTTACTTAGCAAAGCCCAGGATATGAAATAGTTAAACAATCTAGGAAAAAACTATGGACAGATCATTTTTATAAAAGGTGTCTGGTAATCAGCTTATTGTAATGCCCCAGAGTGTCTGATAAAAGAATCACATCACTTAATGAATTTTCAAATCCACTTTTCCACTAAAAAGCTGCAAATACATTGTAGGAATAGTAATCTTTATGAACACAGAAGTAATAAAGGTATACAGCATTAATATGATGACTGCTAAAAGAAGAAACCAGATGTGAATGTATTTCATGATTAGTTACACAAAGATCTAACTTTGTACAGTTGTATACTGCTAATATGTAATGCAAATGAAATCAGAACAATATTTTAATTACTGATAAATGTTATATTTTTGTACCATGTTCATATAATCACATTTTACATGTGGGCTTAGGACTTTTGTTGATGGACTGTCCTATTCCTAGCGTTTTAAATTCAAACACATGCAGCTTTGTTTGAATCGAAAACGCATTTGGCATGAAAAAGCTGTGTTGACCTGCTTTGTCTGCATTTCAAAGGCACCATGCTGGTTGACATGGGCCATTTACAAGAGCCATTAAGTTTAGCTAGGTTCGGCTTATGTTGGGAAAGGAGGGTTTTAGAAAATATACAGGGAATGTAGCACCTAATATATTTTGAGGCTACTGCATGCTTCAGGTGAGAAAGAGGAGTTTCCTGGAAGGAGAGGCCAAACCTTTTTTACAGCTGGGAGGATGCTGCTGTATCT